TGCCGCTGCCGCTGCCGCTGCGGGCAGCTCCCAAACACCCCCTGGTCACCCCCCACCCCCGGCCACGGCCACGGGCCTGCGACCTGCATCTCCTCCGTGCTAGCCTCGTACCCCGCGCCACGGCCGCGCTGCGACAGGCCTGCGACCGGCCCCGAGCCCCGGCTGCGCTGGGGATGCTGCAGCCCTGCCAGCCCGGCAACGCCTCCTGCTTAGCCTCTTGCTGAGCTCCCCGCGCCCGTGCCCCGCCCCCGGGCCGGGGCCCCCGGTCAGCCTCCTCCTGGCCCGGGCCAAGCCGGCGCCTACGTCCCTGGGAAGGAGGCTCTGGCCGCCGGGGCCAACTCGACCGAAGCTGCTTCGGGAGATTTTTTTCCCCAATGTGACCTAATGTCATTAATTTAATTTTCTTAAAATATCCTATTAAAATCTCTCAGACTGCTTTCAGTGGTGACGGGGAGCTCGATGCCAAGTCCAGTGGACCCCCAGCCAGTTTGGGAGGGCTGGTACCCCCACTGCGGGGACGCTCCCTGGCCCGCTCCCATCTCTGGGCAGAGCACTGTCGCAGTGTCCGCGGGCGCGATGGAGGGCCGGCAGATGCTGTCCGGTCGCTCTGCTCCATGTCCCCACTCGGTGCACGTGTTCTGGACCTTTGACCCATGCTCCTGTCCCTGTTTTTCATCCATTGTCCCAAGAATTCAGATGTTCCCTTAGTCTGTAGCCTCCCCACGTAAAGGAGACCAGCACCTAAGTGGTGGGCTGGGCCCATGACTCCAAAAATGGACAAATAAAGCAACCCCTGCCAGCCTTGTAACCTGGGCCTGGGGCCACGGCCACCCCCGCCACCAGCCTTGGACCCCCGCCACGAGCCCTGGCTGCGATGGGGACCCTGCATCCCCTGCCAGCCTTGTAACCCAGGCCTGGGGGCCACGGTCACCCCCGCCACCGGCCTAGGATCCATGCCACAAGTCCCCCCCGCCAGCCTTTGTGTCCTTGCTCCTAGTCCTGCCCTCTGCAGTCACAGAGAAGAGCCATCTCCATCCTCTATCACAGCCCTTCAGGGCCTGGAAAAGTGATCAGATCCCTGCTCTGTCTCCTCCTCTCCAGATTCAACCCCAGCTCCTTCAGCCTGTCCTTGCCACTCCTGCCTCCGCGATGTTGTTGCTCCGCGCTGGACTGTCCGTGGCAGACGCGTTGTGCTCTCTCCACCCCACGGCAGGGCAACAGCAGCCCTGGGCACAGGACGGGGGAGTTCCCCTTCCTGCTCTGTGGCTTGCGCGGGCCCTGCCTGCAAACAGTCAAGTTCATGTCCGTGGCGGCTGCGCCCCACAATGGCCACTGGGTGGCACCACGAGACCCCGGATCCCCAGCCGTGGCTTCCTGGGATTCCCCTGGCCGGAGCCCAACTACAAGCTGCTCCGGTGGGGGGTGGGGGTGCGTCCAGGGGGGCACAGTCGCTGGGGGCATCCAAGACAACTCTCAGGCTCCTGGGGCACGTCCTCCTGGCACGGGCACTGTGAGGCTGTGCGACTGCACTTTGCGCAGCGCCTCCCACATCCCCTGACTCTGGGGGCCGAGGCCTTTGCCTAGAGACGAGCCAAAACGCCATGAGTGATGGCCACGTGATGCTGGTGGCAGCCAAGGGGCCCACTGTGTTGCTGCCGGAGGGTGGACTCTGCGCGGTGTCGGTGCCCTGGCATGGACAGCCCTGATGCCAGCCCCAGCAGTGTTCTGCCAGCACTGGGGAGGCCCCAGGAAGGGGCTGGAGCGGGCGGCTACGTGGATGCTTTGTGGGTGCCGGATGCAGTGGGGAGCTGCTGGCGCCGGTGGACTGGGAGCAGCCCCCCCAAAAGGGCCCTCATGCCCAGCAGCGCGGGGTAGGCCGTGGAAGCCGAGAGCTGGCAGAGGCTGCCTGGGCAGCCGAGCTCCAGAGCGGTGCGGGATTTCCCAGGCCCTGGTGCGAAGCCCGGACCCGGAAAGCCCCTCCCTCCCGCTCTGCTCTGGAGACACCCCTGGGACCTCTGTTTAGCGCATGAGACACTGTTCTGGGAAGTGACGCAGCCCTGTGGCCAGCAGAGCCTCCCCTCCCCTCCTGCCCCGCTCCAGCTGCGCCTGGCAGGGGCTGGGGGCCCGGCGCGGGGGAGGGCACCACGCCGCCCTGCCACAGGCCCGGGCAGAGGGACGGCGCCGAGGGGGCAGGGCTCACCCTCAGACAGCCAATGGGCCACGGGGCCAGGGACACGGGCAAGGCTGGTCACTGCCCTGTGGGCGTGCTGCAGCCACGCAAAAAGTGTGGGGCTGTTGCGCTGATGCCCCGGGGAGGGACAGCCCTGTCACATCCTGTCTGTTGCTGCATGGGTATCTGTGGGCAGTCTGTGGCCGGAGGAGGAAGGGTGCTGGAGGTGCATCTGCCTGCTGGGTCTGCCGTCCTCATGTGGGTGGCTGGGCAGAGTGCAGCCGGGGACCGTCCCTCGCCCCCGAGCATGGATGTGGGGCAAGAGCAGAGCGGAAAGGGCCCCCCCTGGCCTGATGGGCCCTGGCACAGCACAGGGTCCCACGGGCAGGCAGGCGCAGCACCTTTGCTCCTTCCT